TCATTATTAATAAATCTAAAGCCTATTTAGACACTAATGCAAAATACAGGGTATTAGGTAATTATTATTATTATATGTTTACGTTGACCTTGACAAGTTCATTCACATGTGAACATTAAAAACAATTACCATCTAGAATAAATAATAAAAAAGTCTACAACTAAAATGTTGCCAAAATACTAAAAAATTTTTGAACTGCCAATCATTATAAATCAAGGGTATATTAAAGTGATGCACGATTCCACACTCTAGCTGTTGAAACCAAATAATATAATTTATATATTTGCATCAACTCAATGAGGTCTAACCGAAATACAATAGCCGAGCAAGGCCGGGTACTTTCCGGCAGTGGGACTCAAATGGTAAACAGTAGATGTAATTAAAATTTGTGAAGCAATGAAACGACTGGAGACCCTCAGCATCAGTAGAGCCAAAGAGAGACTTTTGCATTTTAAATCAAATAAAATTCTGGCTTCATTTAATTTAACAATAAGATCATAAAGGCGAGCAGGAGACAGTTCATAGTTCATGCTTTTGATATTTTATTGCTATTTATGTATTGCAAATGATTCAATTGCAGCTTTATTCTGTATTAGTTTGATAATACCCACGCAAAGCCCGGCGGGATGATTTAATACGCCAGCCGGGAACAAGTGCGATAACATAATCCCAAACAGCGAGCCTCAATTAAAACGCGCTCAACAAGTTGGCTGGCGGTCGAATAACTGAATTCGCAACTAATCCTGGCCTAAGCCTAATTACATTTTGTTTGCTCAGCCCGAGCCTTTTTTAGTGGCGTGTCCTGCCTCTGATTAAATCGTCCGAATAAATATCAGAGCCCGGCATGGCGGCTCATCTAGCGGTGAGGTGCGATGCGGGGCGGCGGGGAGTGGCATGTGGGCGCATAAATAATTGCATGTGCTATGGCATTTATTTGTTTAAATGACAAATAAAATGCAGAAATCATTTTTATAAACATTTTGTCGCTTCTGTTATGTTTTGTTGTTGTCACTCGCGTTGTTTTGCTTTGTTTTGTTGTGTTTTCCATTTGCTGTCCTTGTCTGGCTGCCATTGGCAAATACGCGGCGTATGCGCAATTTATTTACAAGCATTTATATTTGCCAGCCTGGTTTTTATAGCTGGTTAGCATTGGCAGCAGTTGCTTAAACATTTATGCAACGTGGGGCTTTTGTTTACACAGCCTGGCATTTGCCCATCCAATTGATGAATCCAGAGTCCACAAAGAGATAGAGATGGGAAGAGAGAGAGAGAGAGAGAGAGATGACAGTGGGGGCGATTCAAATGCCGGCAGTCAAAAACTGGGATACATTTTTAATGATGTACAAATATTTGCCTTGCAGCACGATGGCATTTTCCCATTTGAAAACTATAGAAAATGCGGTATCAAAGCAAAGATTGTGAGAGTTAGAAAATCAGAACAGAAATGTCAAGGGAATAAACAAAATATTGATCAATAAATGTGCAACAAAAATATTGAGAATGACAGACTAAATTCAATGGTGAATATTAGAGGGACAGTGAAAGAGATGATATTTCTCCAGAAGTTTTACATTTATATTCATTTAACTCGATATTATATACAGATATCAAAGTAATAATATAATAC